ACAGATATTTAAAGGTCAGGTCAGTACTAACTTTTGAATTATGGACTTTTAGAAGTCAAATGTTTGGGACGTGAATCTACTCATTGGATTGAACAGGTATTGCTAATAAAGAAACATTTCATTGATTTATTGATTATAACGGTCAAATTGAGTTGAATGGAAGTGAATCACATGTTGATTCATCGTGGATGGGTAGTTTCGCCACGAAGTGGTGCAACTACCAACCTTTGTAGATTGAATCAGGTTGATTTGCATGCAATATGAATAAGTAACATTATCAAGAGAGTGATTATTCACCAATTCAATGATCAATATTCAATAATCGGTTTGATTTCAATCAATAGCTTGATCAACAAGCTTTGAATTAATATTCCAGTAATTAACGGCAGTCTATTTTTAAATTTAATCAAAGACCATATATAGTATCTTGACTTTTGTGATCTGGAAACTATCTAGATGTGTTCTATATTGAATAATCTATTTGAAAATGAGATGAATTAACTCTTCTATTGAGTTTTATTGGTATTGGATGATATTACGATTATAATAATCTACACAGAAATCACTCTTGAAATATAAACTGTACTACAATGTATGAGAAACATAATGGTGGTGGAATTAATCAATAACTCGTTGAAATGACTGAGATGGAATGTAAACTATGGTCTATTTGTCATGTAATGGAGACTAGACAGTGTCAATTTCATCAAATTATTTCAAACTGATTACAATCAATAAAAACCCGTACCATACATCAAACATGTCATATAGAATGAGTTTCAATATTTAATATTGTGAACTGACTCTGTTGGATACCATCTCTATAAATATAACAAGATGAAAAGTGTCAACATTCAATTACACATGCATGTTACTATGGAGAATCATCATTATATCATCTAGATAGGTAATATTTCAAGTTTCAGTGGAATTGACTGTCTACATATTGAGATGTGTATACTAAGGGTTAAGAAGTGTCACCTTCACTGATTACTGACATGAATATGACAATTGAATATATTATTGTTGCATAAATAATTCATTGTTCAATGATTATGCTATGATGGTTAAATTTAATTTTGGAATTAAGATACTTCCCCATTGATTAC